GCATGCTCCACCATGCCCAGCTAATTTTTGTATTTTTAGTAGAGATGAGTTTTACTAAGTTGGCTAGGCTGGTCTCGAACTTCTGACCTCATAATCCGCCCGCCTCAGCCTCCCAAAGTGCTGGGATTACAGGCGTGAGCCACCACGCCTGGCCGAGATCAACTTTTTTTAGCTTCCACATATGAGTGGAACATAAGGTGTTTAACTTTCTGTGCCTGGCTTATTGCACATAACACAACGTCCTCCAGTTCCATCCATGTTGCTGCCAGTGACAGGATTCCATTCTTTTTTATGGTTAAATAGTATTCCATGGTGCATCTATACCACATTTTCTTTATCCATCCCTCTGTTGTTGGACACCTGAGTTGATTCCATATCCTCGCTATTGTCACCAGTGCTGCGATGAACATGGGGGTGCAGACATCCCTTTCCATAGGCTGATTTCCTTTTCTTTGGACAGATTCCCAGTGGTGGGATTGCTGGACCATATGGTATTAAACAGATTGATTTGTAGTTTGTGGAGGGATATCCATACTGTTTTCCATAGTGGCTGTATGGGTTTATGTTCCCACCAACAGTGTGTAAGAGTTTCCTTAACTCTGCATCCTCACTAGCATTTGTTATTTTTTATCTTTTTGATAACAGACACCCTAACTGGGGTGAGCTGATACCTCATTGTGGCTTTGATTTGCATTTCCCTGATGATTAGTGATGCCTGCTGGCATTTTGTATGTCTTTGGAGAAACGTCTGTTCCTGTCATTTGCCCATTTTTAAGTTGGATGGATTTTGCTGTTGAGACGTTTCCGTTGCATGTATATTCTGGATATTAATCCCCTGTCGGATGAGTAATTTGTAAATATTTTTTCTCATTCCCCCCAGAGGTTGTCGTCATTTCACTCTGTCTATTGTTTTCTTCGCTGTGCAGAAATTTTTTTGTTTTATATAATTCCATTTGTTTATTATTGCTTTTCTTGCCTGTACCTTCAAGGTCTTTTCATAAAAATCTTTTCACAGACCAATGTCCTGAAGTGTTTTGCCTATATTCTCTTCAGCAGTTTTACTGTCTTGGGCCCTACATTTAGGGCCCTGATCCATTTTGAGTTGATCCCTGTGGAGGGGGAGGGGTGGGGGCTTAGTTCACTTGGCCCTTGGACATTCAGCCTTCCCAGCAGCATCTCTTGAAGAAGAGATCACTCTTTTCCCAATGAGTGTTCTTGGAAACTTTGTCAAAAATTAGCTGGCTGCAAAAATGTGGGTTAATTTCTGGGTTTTCTATTCTGTATCATTGGTCTGTGTGTCAGTTTCTATGCCTCTATCTTTGCTCTTTTTGCTTAGGATTGCTTTGGCTATTCAGGGTCTTTTGTGGTTCCATACAAATTTTAGGATTGTTTTTGCTAATTCTGTAAAGAATGTCATTGGTATTTTCATGGGGAAGTTCAACATTTTTGACAACACCATGCACTCGGAAATATATTTGATACCAATCACAATCTAGTACACAAAAACTTTTTTTGTTTGTTTGTTTTGAGACGGAGTTTTGTTCTTGTTGCCCAAGCTGGAGTGCAATGATGCGATCTTGGATCACTGCAACCTCTGCCTCCTGGGTTCAAGCGATTCTCCTGCCTCAGCCTCCTGAGTAGCTGGGATTACAGGCACATGCTACCACACCTGGCTAATTTTTTTTATTTTTAGTGGAAACAGGGTTTCACCATGTTAGCCAGGCTGGTCTTGAACTACTGACCCAGGTGATCCACCTGCCTCAGCCTCCCAAAGTGCCAGAATTACAAGCATGAACCACTGCTCCCAGATAAACTTTTCTTTCGGATATAAATAAATGAAAAAATGTATATCCGGTATATACAGAGAGAGGACACAAACAGTACCCGCTATTTTCTATTGTATTCTATTCTAATCCTTTTTGTTCCTGACACTTGTCATGACCCGTGAAATCGATTTGGCCCCCATGAATAGCTCACCATCTGCAGCTAGAAATACTGGCCTGATCTCTAGTGCCCGTTCAGCTCTTTCCTCATTTGCTTCTCTGCCTGGAGACTGAGGCCAGATGCAGAGGAGGCCCCAGAAGCCCTGTAGTCAGGGAGGAGGACTGCTGTGGTCACGATGTCCAGCCTCGGGCCAGAGCCCTAGCTGTCAGCCGCTGGGTGCCCACACCCCCCAGTTTCTGTTTTCAGAGCAAGTAGGTGGGGCCTGCTCAGGGAGTCCCCAAGCACAGGCTATAGCCCCTCAGTGGTGCCAACCTTGCCCAGATCAGAGAACCACACTGACTGGAAGGCCACAGAGAGGAGACTGGGCAGGAATACAGGGTGACCAGGCCTATGACAATATGATAATGACCATCGTGCAAGCTGACACTTCTGTGTGCCCCACTCAGTGAAGGCCACTGTGTGGGTCATCTCATGAAATTCTCATAACAGCCCCACTTTTGGGTCTGGAACTGGGGAGACAGAGGCTGGGAAAGTAACTTTCCCACGGCCACCAGCCAGGAAGTACTGAACAGGCTTCTCCCCACCACTTGGCCTGAGCCAGGCCGCAGACCTGCCTCCACACTTCCGGATCTTGGGAGTGGAGAACACCCCAGCCTCATGCCAAGGAGTGCCCAGGCCTGAGGTGGGGGTGTTCCGGGAGCTTCCTCAGGGGCTGATGGAAGCCTGTCTTGTGCAGAGCTGAGCACAAGTGTGTGAAATGCTGACAGAGAAGCCTCTGCTGGCCCTGAGGAAAGGGCTTGGTGGGGGGTCTTTATTTCCCAGTGCCAAGCAGGCTGCCTTGTTGTTCCAACAGCCCCAGAGCAGGAAGAGGTGCAGGGAGGGAGCTTTCAGCCCCTCTGAGTGACAGCCTCCTCTCAATCTGAGCTCACAGAGGGCCGGGAGCTGCCCAGGGGCCTGAGGGAAGGGAAGAGACTTCAGGGGCTCCTCAGAACCCCAGCAAAGGGCTCAAAGACCCTCAGTTCTAGCTTCTAAGGTTCTCAGAGAGGTGTCCAGTGTGGCTCTACACCCATTCCTACCCTGCCAGTTACCCAGGGAAGGGACCATCAGCCAGAGGGCCCTGGGCTGCGGTGTAGGGTCTGTGTCCTGCCTGACAGCACAGTAGGAGGAGGTCTGGGCGGTGGGAAAAGGGCCCTTAGAGGTGCACCCTCCTGGCCCCAAATATCAGTACTACTGCCTGTTATTCCAACACCATCACTTCATGCCTCTTCAGGAACGGTGTGGGACACCCTCCTGGGCCACAGATGTTCCCCACCCCCCCCATCATCACCCCCTTCCCTTGAGGTTAATCACACTACTATGGCTTCATTACCAGTTAGCCCTTGGTGGGGTCCTGGGGCTTCCGAATGAACAAGTGGGGTGGGTGCAGGTGACCTGGAGGGCCCCAGGAGGCTCCTGGGAAGAAGGCCCTGGGCGCCTCCTGCTGCCTCTGCAGGCAGAGCTCTATCCCTCAACCCTGGAGCCCCTCCCCAGGCCCTGAGACCGCCATCTTTTCAGATCTGGGTCATTCTTCCATCTGTACACGCGTTTAGCAGACAGGCATTGCACCACAAGGTGTGTGGCCCTTGGCCAGGTGCTGGAGATGCGGTGCCTGGCTGTCTAGATGCTGGCAGTGCACAGGGAGGCCCACACTGAGCATGAGGAGAGGGATCGGCTTGCTTTGCTCAGAGCAGGCACACAGGGGACCCTGGGTAGCCACACGCAGGAGTGCTGCGTGGGTGTTTCCGCCCTTGGTCCTTCAGGCACCCCTCCTGGCCAGGCAACTTCACAATGAGAGGAAGGGGCAGACCACCAGGATGGGGTATTTCCTATCCAGGTTCCCCAGGGGGAGGAAGCCCGAGGCCACAAACCCCAAGAGGCCAGGCCCTGCCACCTCCATAGGACCCCAACATCTAGAACCATCCAGGGCCCACCCCGGCCAAGTTGCTTCTTCTGTTCCCTTCAGGCTGGGCACATCGACGCTGTGACGCTGAGTAGCGAGGACATTTACACGGCGGGGAAGACGTATGGCCTGGTTCCTGCAGCCGGGGAGCGCTATGCCCGTGAGTGCAGGGCCTGCTGCCTGGCCTCAGCCGGGAGGTGGGGATATTTTTATAAATATAAAAATGTGTTCTCCTCGTCATTTTCAAAAGCTCCATGCCTCTCTCCTGGGGATAGAAGCTGTCTGTCACCAGGCCTGCCCCTCCTGCCCTAGACCTCAGTTTCTCCAACTATTCAACAAACGTCTCTAAGGGGTTGGCAAACTTTCTGTAAAGGATCAGAGGACAGATACTCAAGGCTTTGCAGATGACAGTCTCTCTTTAAATAACCCTTTCAAAATATAAAAACATTCTTAGCTTACAATCCAGGCCATATGAGAGAAGGCCTTGTGGTTTGCCATCTTGGACTACTGGGGTTCCTCAGCCTCTTCTGGCCCTAGCCAGCCATGGAAGACAGCCCTTCAGAGTCCCTCAGCTCATTCGCACCTTCTCAGGGGCCTGGGCTGGGGCTTTGGCCTCTGTCTTCTTACTGGTGACCTCAGAGGCCTGAGTCCCTTCCACCTGGGTGTGAGAAATCTCTGGGCTATGGGAAAATGCTTCTGCAGCCTCATCTTTCCTCCCGGGCAGTGAGAAAAATACCACTTGGTATAAGGAAAGAAAGAAGTCCCTGTGGTTAAGGACTGCCGGGGACCAGAGGAAGACAAAGCTGAAAAGTGGAGCCGGGAGGTTGCTTCTCACAAGGGACGCAGGCAGGGGCCCCACTGGGCCTGCTCCTGGAGCACCCCAGCCTCAGGCCTGGGCACTCTGGCCTGCACAGCTCAGGCAAAGAGCCAGGAAGGAGAGGGTTTGAAGGAAGGACCCCATAGGCACTTGCCCTGGCTGTCAGATGAGGGGCCCCTCATGTGAGTCCCTCTCTCCCCAGCGGAAGACAAGAGCAACTCATACTTCGTGGTGGCCGTGGTGAAGCGGGACAGCTCCCACGCCTTCACCTTAGATGAGCTTCGAGGCAAGCGCTCCTGCCATGCCGGCTTCGGCAGCCCTGCGGGCTGGGATATCCCCGTGGGCGTCCTCATTCGGAGAGGCTTCATCAGGCCCAAGGACTGTGACGTCCTCACAGGTACCCCCCTTTTAGGAACGCAGACTGGGGAAGCCTTCTCTGGGATTGGCTAGGGACCGGCAACTAGTTGGGGAGGGGACCTTGTTGGAAGGTGGCCAGGCATGTGCATAAGTGCCCAGGTATCTCCACAGGTGGGGACAGAAGCCCCCACCATATGCTGTACATGAAACCCTTCCCATGTATTAAATCACACAACATCCATGGAAACTGGCAAGATCCTTGGGCTGACGGGCACACACCTCTGTCCTGGCTGTTAACTCAGAAAAAATACCAGCACTTCTTTTCTAACCACTGACACAAGCACAACGGAGGGCACTAGGGTTGGCGGCTCCCACTCCCAGACAGCTGGACAGTTGCTCTGATTGGAACAAAATAGTGAGGTAGTGAGTTCCCTGTCCCTGAGGGAGTTCAAGTGATGTTTGGTGATGGGGTTCCTGTATCTAGACAACCTCTGCATTTTCCTCTTGATGAGATCTTCCAGGAGGAGACACTCCACTGAGAGCTAAGAGGGGAGCGGAGCAGACAGGTGGCCTTGCAGCGTAGGCCCAGGCGGGTGGGCAGATCTGTGGGGGAGCAGCCACCCATCTCCCTGCCACACTTTCCGCTGCTGGCCCCTCATCATTGCCCTTCCCCTCCACCCCAGCGGTGAGCAAGTTCTTCAATGCCAGCTGCGTGCCCGTGAACAACCCCAAGAACTACCCTTCCTCACTGTGTGCGCTTTGCGTGGGGGACGAGCAGGGCGGCAACAAGTGTGTGGGCAACAGCCAGGAGCGATACTACGGCTACAGCGGCGCCTTCAGGTACTAGGGTGGCCTGGTGGTCTGGGGCTATGTGCAGAGGTTGGGACCCTCCTGCCAACGCCTGCCCTGCCCTCTGTGTGGCAGGTGCCTGGTGGAGAATGCTGGTGACGTTGCCTTCGTCAGGCACACGACTGTCTTTGACAACACAAATGGTAGGTAAGGGCCAGAGCAGGGCTAAAGGTAGGTCGGGGGGACTGTCCCCATCCTCAGCACAATACAGACACCAGGTGTGCTGGGTTTGGGCCAGGCAGCAGCTCAGAGAGACTGAGTCTAGACCGAGCCTCCTGGGAAGCTGGGAGCCCCACAGAGTAAGAACAGACTTCAGACCACACATCCAGGGGTGCTGGACACATGACTGTCTTCACTGGTCTGGAATTCAAGTCCCTAATCCACTGAAATGGTAGAAACTCAATCCCAGTCCATTTGGAAAGACCCCCTTCTGAGGGTATTTATGTAGTGCCAAGGTGTGAGGTGGGGGTGGCATGAGCCTCTCCACAGGGTCATGAGTTCAATCAGTATCTGGTCTGTGTTCCTGAGCACATCACTGCTTCATGCAAGGAAATCTCTCTGCAGTCCCCAAGCCAGACCGAGGCAGAGCACACCTGAAACATCACACAGATTTCTTCCTGGAGTCACCTTCCCGGGCTCCACCTGGGATAAACAGCTCAGGAATGCTCTGCTCTGGGACCCCCATACATACACGGACCCATGGTAGCATGCGGTCCTAATGTAGCATCACTTCTCCCTATTCTTGTTTTCTGTGAAGGAATCTGTGTCCATTTTGAAGACTAGAGGCTATTTTCCTCCAACACCAAAGGCTTGTACTTTCTGCATATTCTGCCTACACCCCAGGCTTTGAAACCACAAAGGCTGGAGGCTCGGTCTTCTCCACTCGCTCCCAACGCATCTCCTTCTAGAAACTTAGCCCAGAAAGGCACAACTGTGGCCTGGAGGGGAGGGGATTGGACAACGGGAAGTGAGACTTGCAGGGAAAAAAAACTCAAAAAACATCAGTATTTCAACACTTGGTTCTTGCCTCCTGTGGAAGTCAAGGCAGTAGAACCATTTGCCCCAGCAGAGCTAGGGAGGGCTCCAGGCCCTGAACCCTTCCTGTTGCCACAGCCCAGCTTCCCTGCCCAGCCTCCTACCAAGAACACCTGAACCCTCCCCCAGGAGGAGGGAGCTGTGTGCTCCTGCATGAGCCCGGTGAGCCTGCCTGGTCCCAGACCTGTGCACGGTGTGGTCTGGGATGGGGTCAGGGGAGGAGGGCAGGTGCTCAGGAGGCTTTGGAAGATTCCCTTGCAGTGACTCACCCACCCCCCAGGACCTCCCGCTCTTTTCCCTTTTATCTTTAGCTCTCCTTGAGGCCCACCTGGATTTCCTGGAAATGGGAGGAGGATGGACACTAAGTGAATGCTCAGAGACACAAAAACGTGATTCTGGGGGCAGCATTTTCTCAGGAAGCCCTGGGACCATCTGCTTTAGAATCACTGGGATGCTGGTTTAACATGCAAATTTCTGAGCCCCGTCTGAGACCTTTGCAGATTCTTTGCAAGCAAGGGCCCCTGAAGCTGCCTTTTACATCCACAAGTGATGCTACACCCTGTTCCACTTGAGAACTTCAGCCTTTAGGGGCAATCACCCACCACCTTCAGGGTGCCGCCCCACCCTCAGGCTTGAGGATGTAACACATAGATGGGGTTCTTGCCTGGGAGTGACTAACAGCCTCAGTTTCCTCACCTGTAAAATGGGGACAACAACACCTGTCCAGCCTAACTGTTGTGAGGATCAAGCAATGCTTCTAAAGCGTTGGTCACATAGTAGGTCTTCCCTCCTCCCTGCTAATGGCAGCTCCTGCTAATGGCATTAACACAGCTGGGTTCTCTCACCCTGACAATATAGCAGAGCACTTGGAGAACAGAGAGGGTTGGGTGCTGACCAGAGGTTGCCACCTCCCTGTAGTGAAGGACTTGGAGGACCCAGGATAGCAGCCTCTCTTTACACTTCTTCCCACTCCCCTGAACATCTCCACATACAATGTTTTACCTCCCCAGGCCACAATTCCGAGCCCTGGGCTGCTGAGCTCAGATCAGAGGACTATGAACTGCTGTGCCCCAACGGGGCCCGGGCAGAGGTGTCCCAGTTTGTAGCCTGCAACCTAGCACAGATACCACCCCATGCTGTCATGGTCCGGCCAGACACCAACATCTTCACTGTATATGGACTGCTGGACAAGGCCCAGGTGAGCCAGGATGGGGTTGCCTCACTGAGGGGTATGCAGCAGGGGTAAGATAAGCCCCTGGGAAGAAACAGACCTGGAACAGACCTCTAGAGAAACCAGGGAAGCGTGGGGAAAATTCTGTGATTTTCACTTACTCAAGGACATCCCTTTGGAAACTATCCCCTCTGTCTCCTGCATCACTGATTTTCCCTTCTCAGATGGACCATTTTCACCAACATGAAACATGCTGTTATTTCTGTCATCCTTAAAGGACAAACTAACCCCTCTCACATCCATCCTCTTGCAGCTGTAATCCTGCTCCCTTTCAAAGCAAAACTGTGAAGAGTGGTCTCTGGAGTTACAGTCCTCTCCTCTGGTCTCTCTTAAGGATGCAGACTACCCCAGACAGGTTCCCAATTGGGCCCTGAAGCTGTTCTTGTCAAGGTCACAGTGAACCATGTTGCTAAAACCAGTGGCCATTTCTCAGTCTTCATTTTACTTGACCTCTCAGCAGCACTGGCCACAGCTCTGCCTCCTCTGGTAAACACCTTCCCTGGCAGGCTTCCAGGTCCCCAGCCCTGCCTGGCTCTTCTGTCACCTCTCTCGCCACTCTTCAGTCTTCTTTGCTGATTCCTCCTCATCTCCTGACCTGTTAGCCCTAGGATTCAGTTCTCAGCCCTCTTCTCTCTCTCTACACCTGACCCTTGATCTCGTCCAATCCCATGTCATCCAATCCCATCTGTATACAGACAGCTTCTAAGTTTACATGTTTAGTCCAGACCTCAGCCCCAAGCTTGCCTATTTAACTACATACCTGACATTTCTACTTGTGATTCTAACAGGCATCTCAAACGGATCAAGTCCAGAGTTGGACTCCCGTTCCTCCTTCAGTCTTCCCCTCTTTAGTTAAGAGCAACTTTAGCCTTTCCATTTCCTCAGGAGTCATTTTTGACTCCAGTCTTCCTCTCATGTTCTATATCCAATCCATCAGCAAATCCCATTGGCTGTGCATTCAAAATACACCTAGAATTTAAACCCGGGTTGTCTGAAAATGGAGCCACTGGTTTCTAACCACTCCCCCTCCCCCAACTGACTTGAGCTGAACTTGCCTTCTCCACACCCCAGCAGCACAGAACTGCAGAGCTGGCTGGCTCGTCAGGCCTGTTCCTAAACTTTAACATTTTGAAATTATGCGTGTTCCTCTCATCTTCCCCACAGAACCCCTCTATCCCAGGAGTGATTTACTCTGGGTCCCTGGGCTTCCCTAAAGCGTTCTTAAGTCCTCTGAAGTAGTGTGGGAGAAGAATCCTGGGTGGATGTGCATTTTTCTGGGGAGAAGGCTGACAGCTTTCATCAGATCTTAGAGAGGATCTGCGAGTCCCCTCCAAAAAGGCTGAGAACCACATGATTCCTTTGTTCCTTCTTGATCAGTACTTAACACTTGATGTAGACATTCATACATGTTCTCCAGAAGTCCTTTATTTATATTTATATTCATAAGTTCCCATACTACTTCTGGTCTTTTCAGTAGTTTTTTTTTTCTTTTTCTTTCTTTTTTTTTTTTTGAGATGGAGTCTCGCTCCGTTGCCCAGGCTGGAGTGCAGTGGTGTGATCTTGGCTCCCTGCAACCTCCGCCTCCTGGGTTCAAGCGATTCTCCTGCCTCAGCCTCCTGAGTAGCTGGGATTACAGGTACGTGCCACCATGCCTGGCTAATTTTTGTATTTTTAGTAGAGATGGGGTTTCACCATGTTGGTCAGGCTAGTCTCGATCTCTTGACCTTGTGATCTACCCACCTCTGCCTCCCAACGTGCTGGGATTACAGGCGTGAGTCACGGCACTCCGCCTTTAGCAGCTCTTTTAGGGCTGTAGCTGCAGAATCATTCCAGTGATTCTGAGCAGTGAGGAGAGGAGTGCAGCATCCCTGGGCGGAGGTCAGTGAAGACACGCCCAGCTCACCCGTTATTCTGTGACTGGTTGCAGAACACAAGTCTCTCTCGAAATTGTTTAGGTTTGTGGGAAGGAAATCTGTAAGCTAGAGTGAGAAAGCCTTATGGAAAAGGCCAAGAAATGCTGAGCAGGCCTAGCAGAACACTCAGGAATCCCACCGACACCATCCCTCATTTCCGGATCTTTCTTCCTGGACCTCTCGGGCTTCAGTCCTGCATCCAAGAGCTGGAGCGCTGCGGTGCTTCTGAATCCCTCTTCCAGTGGCACCTGTGTCCCCACATCCCCTTGGGTGACAGAGGCGGATCAGATGTCAAGCTTACAACTTCCAGTCAGAGTTGTGGGGCCCTGAAATGACTTGCTCTTTGGGTCACTGTATGTAAAGCAATTTGCAGCAAGCGGCACCTGGGCGGGTGACCCTGTGTGAGCCCAGGTGAGAAGCAGGGCTGCTTGTGGTGCTTCCAGGATCTGTTTGGAGACGACTACAATAAGAATGGGTTCAAAATGTTCGACTCCTCCAACTATCACGGCCAAGACCTGCTTTTCAAGGATGCCACAGTCCGGGCGGTGCCTGTCGGGGAGAAAACCACCTACCGCGACTGGCTGGGGCTGGACTACGTGGCTGCGCTGGAAGGGATGCTGTCTCAGCAGTGCTCGGATGCAGGTAGGACGGGTCCGCCCTGCCGCCTCCCTGGTGCCATTCAGACCCCTTCACCCCAGAACTTTGCAGGAGTTGGGGGGTGGGGATGCTGCGGGTCCGGGGAGCCGGGTGGAGGCCCCGTTCACAGCAGTCCAGGTGGGGTGTCCCGGGACACTGCAGTCCAGGGGGGGCAGGAGCCCGGCCGAGACTCCAGACAGACGTGGGTGATGAGTGTAAACGCTCAAAGCAGCGGTGCAGAGAGGATCTGAGGCCAGGCAGAAATCTGCAAGTGTAATTTTGGAAGGAATGAATATAAAGGCAGCAAGGGAAAGGAGCATTGCAATCGAATAGAAAAGTGGGAGGCTGGGGCGAGGTCGGTCCAGAGAGATCCCCCCACCCCACTAGGGTCGGTGCCTCAGGCGGCCACCGCGGCCCCGACTTCGGGGCCTGACCTCCCGCGTTCGTCCCCAGCGGCCTCGGCCTCCGGGACGCCCCTGCTCCCGCTGCTGTTGCCCGTCCTCGCCGCCCGCCTGCTCGCGCCCGCCCTCTGAGGCTCGGTCGCCCGCCAGAGCCCGCGCCCTCGGAGACCCGCCGCGCCCCACAGCTCCCGGAGCCGCGATTCCCGCCGGGGGAGTTTCCGCGGCTGCTTCGCGCTGGAATCCAGAAGGAAGCTCGGAAAGGCCCGGCCCGGCGCGGGCGGGAACAGGCGCCTCCCCGGGAGCCCCGCCGCCCACGGGCGCCACCTGGCGCTGCTACCTGAGGCGCCGCCCCCGTGCCCGCGCGGCCCTCCCCGCCAACCGCCGCCTCCCGCCACCTGGAGCCGCCTGGGCCGAGCCGGAGGAGGCTGGTTGCCCAGGAAACCGCTGAGCCCGGGCTTCCCGCCGCCCGAGGGGCCCGCCAGCCTCCTTCCCGCAGCCCTGCGCCCCCGTGCGCGAGGCCTCCTGGGGACGCGGTGGCCACTGAGGCACCTACACCCGGAGGCTGCAGCCAGGCCCTCCGAGGAGGCCCGGCCGCGGGCGCCATCGGGACCCAGCCCGTGGGACAGCGGCCCCTGCTGGCGGGGAGGGACGGAGAGAGGGAGGCTGGACCAGGGCGACTGGGAGAAACCCACCCGGGAACCCCTCTCCAGCTCCTTGGGGAGAAGCCTTCGCCAGTGGGACCTTGTGCGGGGCGGGAGCTCCAATCCCTCCGACCGCCGGTGCGCTGGGAGGGAGGCAGGCCCTGGGGCATCTCTGTGTGCCCTGCCGGGTCCTCCACGGTGGCCGCGCCAGCGCCATCCGGGGCCAGCTGCGTCCACGGAACCCCCTCCTGAGTCTCCTCTTAGGCTCAGCCTCAGGCTCTCGCCTCCCCTGCCTCCATGGGTGCCCACCGCCCGCACCCACGTCCCAAGCCTGGCAGCAGCAGCTGCCCAAGCCTGAAGGGATCCTGAGGCGACCCAGGCCGCAGGCTGCTGAGGCCATCTGAAGGGCTGGGCGTGGGGGGACGCCTTTCTTCTCGTCAGAGGAGCCACCGGGCTGGGTTCCGAACGGGGGCGAGCTCCGTCTGTCTCCTCACCCAGCCCTGCACCTACTGGGCCCTCCTGGGCCTGGGGACCACCTGCTCCCCGTTCCCGCACGCGCGAGGCAGCAGAAAGAGCCCGGACAGGGCCTGTCTCTACTCCATTTTGCCACAGTTGTCTGAGAAGCTAGAAAAAGTTTCCAGAACTGCCAGCCCTTAAAAAAAAAAAAAAAAAAAAAAAAAAGGAAGAGAAGAAATGGGAGCAAGCAGCCCTCGTCAGCAGACTGGGAGCGGCGTGGGCCCGGAGCTATTTGCATTCCGGTCTGCGGGGGCTCAGGGATGCTGATGACAGGCCCGGTTTCTGGTGGCTGGCCCCCACCTGTGGGCGTCGGGAAGGATCCCTTCCATGTCTCAGCAGCAGAGGAGGCCCTGGCAGCGTCCTGGCTGTAGCCATGCAGTCCCAAGGAGTCCCAGTCATCTTCACCCCACTGGGAGGGGCCACAAGGACCTGGCCCTCTGCCAGCAGGCTTTGTCCCCTCTTGCTGTAGGGAGCCAGTGATTCTCCTCCAACCTGATGATTGCTTGGTTTTTTCAAAAGGGAGATTTGGGCGGTGAGAAGTGTATTTCTGGTGGCTACTCCAGGCTAGCGTGCTGTGAGCCATTGAAGGTGTGGGCTGCTTGAGTGCTATGTAAGTAACGTTGGATTGTCAGGTGGCAGTAGGGGGCCACTGCTGTGTCAGTGCTAATGAAAGATGTTGGTTTGTTTCTAAAATAAAGCCAAACAACCCTCCACATGCAGAGGCTTGGATCCTGATAGAAACTTCCTGCTGCTGATTTGTTTTGTTTTGTTGGGTTCTCAAAGACCTACCTGCTCCACCCAGAAAGGCAGATTCCATTCTCCAAGAGCCAGTCAGGGACCCCTCTCGTCCTCGAGTCAGTGAGGCCCCCAGTGCCCTTCTTCAACCTGGACTTGTTCTCTGGCCCTTGCAGGGCCTCAGCTGTCCTGGCACATTCCAGCTGCCTCCACCCCATCTGTCTCTGAGGTGTCTGCCCCTCTGGGGATGGGTGCAGAGGAGGGTGCAAACTTCTCTGCTGCCCCCTGCCCCGTACCTCCAAAATAAACTGCCCACCTCTTTTCTCTGGCAAGCTTGCTGCTAACTCGCTAGAAGGGGAGGCGTGGGGAGCTGATCTCCGAGGGACCCTACAGTGGGTGCTCTCTGGTATGTACTGAGGTGTAGGTGGGCCCGTCTGGTCTTGATCAGTGCTCTGTCCTCCCTTGGGAAGGAGAATTTTCTCTGCCTCCCTCTCATGGCTCCTACCCTTCACTTGGTGGCCCCCATGCCACCCTCCCCACTGTGGCCATCTCCCAGAGCCAGGTCTTACCCACCACTGCACACGGACCATTTCTCATGATGTTGCCGCAATTATCACAAAGCCAGGCAATTCCTGGGGACCTGGATAGCCAAAGTTGACAGACTGTCTCTGCATCACGTGGCCCAGTCTCAGCTGCACAGTCGCTCCAGCTTGCCTCATGCTGCCACTTCCCCACCCTGAACCTTTGGAAAAGGAAAGTTAACCTTTGGACACCCTAGCTCCTCATCTGAAAAACACACAGAGTACAATCACTGGCCTGGCGAGGCAGTTGCGAAGATCGAGTCTAAGATGCAAAACACTCAGCACAATGCTTGGCACACGGTGGGTGCAGGAAGATGTTCATTGTCACCGCTGCTATTACTCCAGAGTCTATTTTCTTGTCTCCAAATTCCTGGGAGAGATCATCCGATTAGCCCCAATGTGCATCAGGTGTCTACTACTGGGCCAGTCAGCACAGGGCAGAAGTGGGGTGTATAGCTGACACGTGGCCACGGAGGCCCCAGAGAAAGGAAATGAAATCCTTGTAAGTCAGGCAGCCATTCCCCAGTACCTCCCTGGCTACCAGGTCTGTTGTGGGGGCTATTTGCCATTGGTTGAGCAAATATTTACTGATACCTACAGTCAGTACCACACCCAAATCTAGGCAAGAAGGATCCTAGTCCTTGGTTTTGTGCTTTCAAGCAATGCTTCTCAGACCTTGATGTGCACATGAATTGCCTGGGGATCTTGTTAAAATGCAGGTTCTGGTTCAGGAGGCATGGCGTGAGTGAGGCTAAGAGACTGCCGTTCTAACTCCCAGTTCGTGCCCACGCTGGTGGTCCAGGGACCACACTTTTGAGAAGCAAGCCTTCAGAGGCCTCTGCTGGAGCCCTCCCGCAAACCACACCCCACCCATAGAGGGAGGGACACAGGGAAAAGGGATGCATTCACTCAGAGGGCATCTTTTTTTTTTTTTTTTTTTTTTTTTTTAGGCAGTCTTGCTCTGTTTCCCAGGCTGGAGTACAGTGGCACAATCTCAGCTCACTGCAACTTCTGCCTCCTGGGTTCAAGTAACTCTCCTACCTCAACCTGCCAAGTAGCTGGGACTACAGGTGCCCGCCACCATGCCTGGCTACTTTCTGTATTTTTAGTAGAGATGGTGTTTCATCATGTTGGCCAGGATGGTCTTGATCTCCTGACCTTGTGATCCACCTGCCTCGGCCTCCTAAAGTGTTGGGATTACAGGCATGAGCCACCACTCCTGGCCCCAGAGCCCATTTTTTACACCATGTTCCAGATATCCAGAATCCTGGAATTCATACCCCAAACAGCCCTGAGCCAGCTTCCACGGTTTAGAGGGCCCCTTCCTTAGATCCTGCCTCCCAAGGTGGCCAAAGCTCTTGCAGGAGGTATAGTTGAGCATGATGAGCAGGCTGCCATGTCCACCTGCACATGCACAAGGCCCTTGAAGCGTGGGATGCAGCTTGGACGGGAAGACGGCGGGTGGGCTGTGGTGGGGAAGCCTGTTCTCCCCGCACCTCCTATTCCAGGCTGCTGAGTCTTTATAAAGGTTTGTTTGTCAAAGTAGGAGGATAGGACACATTCTCTTTAATAGTTTGTTAGCTTGATTTGCAACATTTAAATATGGAACCACATAGTAGGTGGCCCTCCGTTGGTACTCTTGTCCTAGGCCCCACAAGCATTTGGGGCTGGCCTGCTGTGTGCACAGCCCTGTCCTCAGGGCTCTGGAAGTATAAAAAAGTAAGTACACAGCCTACTAGCCCTGCCCTTGGCCTCTTTTGGAGAAGCCACTGAGCTGGCGTGGCAGAAGAACACTGCAGCGCAGAAAGGGCAGTGACAAGGATAGACAGGTCCTTATGGGCCACGTGGCATGTCTGCAGACAAGCCGTCACCCCCAGCTTCACACTCCTCCCCAAGTGTTCTTGACCATTTACAATGAGGATGTATTATTTAGGACAGCATTCCTCACACAGCATGTATAACAGGTGTAAACGCTACAAATTTTTTTTTTTTTTTTGAGAGGGAGTTTTGCTCTTGTTGCCCAGACTGGAGTGCAATGGCACAATCTTGGCTCACCACAACCTCTGCCTCCTGGGTTCAAGCGATTCTCCTGCCTCAGCCTCCAGAGTAGCTGGGATTACAGGTGTGCACCCATGCCTGGCTAATTTTGTTTTGTTTTGTTTTTAAGTAGAGATGGGGTTTCTCCATGTTGGTCAGGCTGGTCTTGAACTCCTGACCTCAGGTGACCCACCTGCCTCGGCCTCCCAAAGTGCTAGGATTACAGGTGTGAGCCACCATGCCTGGCCTAAATGCTACAATTTTTTAAAAAGATATATTAGGCTGGGTACCGTGGCTCACACCTGTCAGCCCAGGGCTTTGGGAGGCTGAGGTGGAGGAATCACTTCAGCCCAAGAATTTAAGAATAGTCTGGGTAACAGAGTGAGACCCCATCTCTACAAAAAAATTTTTTTTAAAAGTAGCCAAGTGTGGTGGTCCACACCTGTAGCTCCAGCTACTTGGGAGGCTGTGATGGGAGGATCACTTGTGCCAGGAAGGTCGTGGTTGCAATGAGCCATGATGGTGCAATGCACTACAGACCAGACCCTGTCTCAAAAAAAAAGATATTCCAATTTGTTGAGTAGAAACCAGCTCACTCACCTAAGATTCAGGACACTTGAATTCTAGTTCCTGTTTGATATTCACCTTGGGCCAATACTTTCTCCTCTCCCCATCTCAGTTCCCAAATCTGTAAACTGAGAAATGTGTATGGTGCCTAGACGATTTCTAGCTCTACCAGAAATCCTTAGACTGAAACACATGTGAGTCTTCAGAGAGTTATTGCCTGTGCTGAAGCGAGAGGAGCTGGATGGGCTTTTTTCATTTCTGCCTTTCTCAGCTGCTTTTGGGATGGCGCTAACAGCCCAGAATCTGGGTTTCACAGAAGAGGGCCATAAACATCAAAAGTTCTCACCTTGAGCGTGTGTCAGGAGAACTTGTTAAAACACAGACTGTGAAGCTGGGTGCCATGGTGTGTGCCTGTAGTCCCAGCTACTTGGAGGCTGAGGCAGGACGATTGCTTGAGCCTAGGAGTTGAGGACAGCCTGAGCAATATAGTGAGACTCCCATCTCTAAAAATATATATATTGGCCAGGCATCGTGGCTCACGCCTATAATCCCAGAAATTTGGGAGGCTGAGGTAGGAGGATTGCCCAGTAGTTCAAGATCAGCCTGGGCAACATAGGCCCAATCTCTACAAAAAAAAAAAAAAAAGTTTTTAATTAGCCAGGCATGGTGGTGTGTGCCTGTGGTCCCAGCTACTCGGGATGCTGACAGGGGAGGGTCACTTGAGCCCAGGAGTTCGAGGTTGCAGTGAGCTATGAGCTCTGGTTGTGCCACTGCATCCCAGCGTGGCAGGTTCCCAGGTGGTCTGATGCTGCCGGTCAAGACGCCTCACTTTGAAAGCCTGGCGTGAGGCTGAGAGTCTGCAGTTCTAACCAACTCCCAGGTGGTGCCGGTGCTGGTGGTCCAGGGACCACTCTTTGAGAAGCAAGCCTTCAGAGGCCTCTGCTGGAGCCCTCCCCCAGACCATATCCCACCCACGGAGGGAGGAATCACAGGGAAAATGGATATGTTCACTCAGATGCCATTTTTTTTTTTTTTTTTTTGATTGGGGGAGGCGGAATCTTGCTCTGTTGTCCAGGCTGGAGTACAGTGGCGTCATCTTGGGTTCAAGTGATTCTCTTGCCTCAGCCTCCTGAGAAGCTGGATTACAGGTGCCCGCCACCATGCCCAACTACTTTTTGTATTTTTAGTAGATACGGGGTTTCACCATGTTGGCCAGGATGGTCTCGATCTCCTGACCTCGTGATCCACTTCAAGGCCATGTGAGCTCACACCCAATGAGTGCATTAATAGGTGCCTGCCCCAGCGGTCCAGGGCTTGGGTGGGAAGGGTGAGTGGTTCCCCCTAACCAGGGAACCTCATGGAGGAAGCCGGGCCCAGCCTGGAAGAAAAGCCAGGTCTGTGGCCATGGCCCCCTTGGTCTCCATGTGGAGAGGTGGAATGTGCAGGAAGGTGCATCAGCATTTCGCCCGGGTCTCTGAGCAGGTGGGCTGCGGGTAGGATGGCATTCTGACTTCACTCTTTCCCAGCATGTGGCTCCCCCTTCCCTCTGGCCCTGCACTCCCTGCCCTCACAATTCTGAGCAGGGCCCTCAGGAAGCAGAGAACACAGAGATCAGCAAGTGAAGGTCGTGTGTGGTCAGAATACCCCCCTTCTTCCTTCCTAGCTTCTGATGTCCCTGGAAACCTGCACCTCCACAGAAAAGCCAAATGGCATCTTCTCTACAGTGGTCAGACTTTGGGCCGTTGGGGGTGGAACAGAAGGGCCTGTGGTTTACCAGGCGGGGCATTCTTAGCCGAGATCTCCACCCAGCGTCTGTGGCAG